TTCTAAAAGTTCTTTCAACATCTCTTCCAGGCTGGCCTTTTCTTCCCAGCAGGTCTCTGCAGGGTTCGGAGGTGGTGGCACAGCTATGGGAGTGTCCTTATTCAAAGGATCTTCTATTTGTGGGGAATCATTTCCTGAAGGAGCTGTCCTGCCTTGTGACAGCCCCTGGATCCCCGTGTTGCCCCTGCTGAGCACGGTGGCGTTCTCCTGGTCCTGCCCTCCCTTTTCCTGAGGAGCTCCCTCGCTCTGTGGCACTGTCTGCTCTTCCTGGATGGAAAAGGAGGGGCTGGGATCACCGCCTTGTGCCACACGGCCCTGCTCCTTCGTGCAGCTGCCGGGATGGGTCTTTTTACTGGCTGAGCTGCTGCTTCTAGCTGGTTCCCTACATATTCTTTTCAGCTGGGGTCTTTCCACATCTTCCCTAGGCATCTCTTCTGCCACTATCACAAATCTGGCACACAGCGGACAGGTGACTGTGTTCCGTGCACGCTCGTTCTCACAGGCGCTGTGGTCTCTTGCTGTGGCCCACAGGTCCACACTGCCCTTTTGCCAATGCAAACGTGCCTGTCCCAGCGATGGAAGGGTAAGTGGTAGGGCAGTGCAGTGTGCCTCTGTGGAGAAGGCAGGAAGCCTTGTAGCTCCTGGATGGTCTCCGAGGCCTTCTTGTAGGAGGCCAGAACCTCCTCTGGTAGCCCAACGCACCGCTGTGTCTGTATTTTTACCACGTGCTGTTCCAGCTGCCTTTTCACAGCCTCATCCAGGAACAACGGCTCCACAGTGGGCTCTGATAGTTGCTGGGGCATCTGAGGAGCAGACTTTTCCTGCTGAGTACCTTCTGTATGTATTGCCAGGCCCGTTTCCTCCTCTGGTTTCCCTTCTGGGGTAACACAGTCACAGAATCACAGAATCACAGAATCACCTGGGTTGGAAGGGACCTCAAGGATCATGTAGTTCCAACCCCCCTGCCTAGCAGGGCCACCAAACATACACATTCAGATCAGGTTGCCCAGGACCCCGTCCAACCTGGCCTTGAACCCGTCCAAGGACGGGGCATCCACAACCTCCCTGGGCAGC